AGCGCTAGCTTCGGTAATATAATATATTAATTAATTCATGATTATTAGTGATCGAATTAATTAATGGACATTATATCTTAAACATGGGGAGGTAAATCGGATAATTATAATAAGGAGTCTCAAATGTAATTTGGGATAGGTGAGGGGAGTGCAATAATATTATTGTGGTGGACTTTAATATTATTAATATATTAATTGTGGGGTTGCTCCACAGTATTAATATATTAGAAGTCATTATCCTATTCTCCTTAGGGTCCCTACTGTAGCTCTATATATACAGCATTAGGCTCTTGGAAGAGAAGAGACAATCCCATCAGCTCTATATTTCGTCCGCCTCTCTCTCTCTCTCTCTCTTTTTCCAAGGAGTTCTCTTATTTCTTGTGTTCAACTGATACAAGATCTAGAAAGCTGTTTGAGAATACAGTAGAAGATCTTAAGGTATATAGAGATTCCAATCATACATCCAAACTGGAGACCAAAACCAGCAATTGACCATACCACGACGACCAGGACGACGAGATGAAGAGATCGCCGTCGAGATCGCCGCCAACCGCCGCCGCACGCGCCGCCGCAAGGAAGCAGTCGCTGGAGTTTGTCGTCGCGCGTGAGAGCGTGTGAGAAGACCGATTTCCGATCGGTCAACGCCGTTGACTTCGCCGTGACGTCAGCTTTCTGGATTGGTCAAGTTTGTTCGATTCCGAGAAGATTTGATTTGCGGTCAACTGTCCGGGCCAGCCAGATCTACATAAATTTTAAGCAGTAAGTTTTCTTCATCAAACCTTTAGATCCGCTGCGCATAGGTTTATGTTGAATGTTTGTCCGTGATTTGTGCATATCGAGATCCTCATATGTCCCAACAATTGGTATCAGAGCTTGACGTTAATCCGTTATGTACAAGATCTGGATTAAACTGCTTATATTGTCTATGTGTGCTCAAGCGCAGCCATATATATTGGATTATCTGCATAACTTGGTTTTGCAGGAAGTAGTTAATCCACTATTATGGCGACCCTTTTATGTGCTTGTGCTTAATTGATGGTTGGTTGTTTGGTTTTAAAATTGTTTTAAAGCCTCGGGATTGTCGAGGAATTATGGATGAATGCTTGTATTAATT